AATAGATGGAAATGGAATTATATTTCATGCTTTATATTACATGGACTAGTTTTATCTTTCCATTACAATCTGCGTGCCATTATTAAATTGGCAGTTTTGTATTAGTGATTTTGTAGCTACATTATAGTGCCATTTAGGATGTGAGTATGAGCAGATCAAATTCTGTAATACTATATGGCTCTTACAGTATTGGCAATAATCTCCTGTCTAAATGCCCCATAAGGACCTATCACATTTATCCTTTTGTCCATTGTATTATGAGCAGAAGCACTACATAAACCAATTGCCTGTTTTTTATTTTCGCACATTGCCATTAATTTTCTTTATATACAGCAATATCAGTTGCAATGCAATGAGCAGAAAGTGATTCTATCTAGTCTAATGTAGCCAATCCTCCTCCATTTCTATGGGTGGTCATAGGGAGGAGCTAGATACTCAATTTAATCATACTAACCAGTATCTTGTAGTTTTTCTTTCAATATTTCAATTACAGGTAATTCATTAACTGTAAAATTAGCTTTTCGTTCCTCATCATAATCTAATGAAAATAATATAATTTATAACATAAAATAACAGCACCAACCAGTTAAGATATTAAATATTTGTTCTTTTTCTTCCAACAGCTCCATTAGTTTTTCCTTAGTAAGAGTAACATTTTTTTCAAGTTCTTCTACATAAATAAACAAAATTAATATTAGAAGTGTACAAATTTGGTTAAAAAAGCAAACAGGAATGACCATATGAAGCTTGTATTTTGGATTGAATTTAGTTTTAAAAAAACTAACCAATATTTGCCATCATTTTTTGTATATGCTGCTCTTTAGCTTGTAATTGTCGACTAGCTAAATATAAAGGATTGTTAATTGGTTCTGAAGGTGATGATTCCCGATAATATCCTATCAGTAAAAATTACATTATAGCCATAAAAATACAACAAACTGAAAAGGAAAATGGAACACATGATTAAATGCACAATCTTTCAAAAATATATAAATTTTCTGAGACCATTGCATTTCATGACAATTTATGCATGCATACTTATTTTATACCAAAGCTATCAAAAGTGATGCTGTGACATTAACAGCTCATGCATTCAGTTCAAATACAGCTGCTATAAAATAAATGTTACATTTCATGCCAAAATTTTAGTTCCCAACAAGTGGTTGAGTTACTCTTTAAGGCGGATTTACAATATGACATTAGGCCAGCGTACCGTCAATTTTTAATCAAAAGCATGGGCAATTTGACCTTTTGACGCATGCTTTCCGCTAGAATAAAACCAGATTCTATTCCAGTAATCCAGTGACAACGTAACGTCAGGACTAGCGTAATATTGCAAATCTGCCTTTAATGAAAAGGTTAATCCAAACTCATAACAAACTGACCTTTGGTTTGACTGTTAGCAATTTGCTGTATTTTATTAGCATCTGACTTATCAGCTAAATCTATTGATCGAAGCTTTGATAAAAATTGTCTCTTCCCATCTTTATTCTTTTCTTCCCAGGTAAGTATCATTTGCATAAAGACCTTCCAGTCTTTCCAGTCTTTATCTGAGGCTGTTCCCATAAATTCACTATAAACAGCTTTGGCTCCTTCAACTGATAGCTCAGTCAATTTTTTTGATATAGCAGAAGCATCTTCTAATGAGAAAGAGTCTACAAAATATAATTGTATAATACATTATTATATAAAACTACTGGCCACCTCCATTAAGTATTTTCTTGACAGCAACTTTATGCTAAACAAAAATGTAAACTGAAGAAAAAGTATGCTCTTAAATTTACCTTTGTCAATATTTTGTTAAATACTTTGATCCTCTCAGCATCTTGACTGGTCATGGCAACAGAACATTTTTCGCATTTCTCTTTTTCAAAAGGAATAGCATGGCGCTCCATCTGAAGCTCACAGGAATGCTCGGACCTCTCACACATTATTGCAAAATTATATAATACATCACTTTCCTTCATTATTTCATGACATATGATGACAATATGCTCACAGACTTTATGCAGCAAAAGCTCGTTACCAAGATTAGGAAAACAAAATTCAATGATATCCCCAAATTGAACAAGCTCAAAAAGTAGACCATCTGACTGAGAACAAAATCGTGTCACATTGATGTGAGGGATCCTGGATACATCAAGTTGAGCTTTGGAATATGACTTCAGAAAATTGGCAGTGAAAGTGACTAAAAAATGTGACGATGAATTATTTGTGTCATGAACCAAATGAAGTGAGGTAGGACTGCATTGCAAAAGAGGTGGGTGAGTGCAGACATTAGAAATATAATAACTACACTGATCAATAGTTACATTAACTTGCTCCTGTGAAATCTTGGTAGCTATACATAATGATTCAAGAAATGACATAAAAGTGGATGCATCTTTGTCAAAAATGGCTTCTGCTGTATCCTTGCTAACCAAACCATGACTTGTAACTATGGGGTCACCAGGAGTATAATAGAACAGCTTATTTAGCTTATTCAAAAATGTAACAGGCTGCAAGATGATTAAATTTGAAGAGGGATTGATCAAACTGACATCAATGATGCTCCCAAATGAAGTGAAAAAACGACGAAACTTACAAAACATATCATCATCCATATTGAGCTCCTTTGATAATACCCCTAATTCATCTTTCATAATGTAGAGCTGATCTTTCTTATAAAACAAACTTCAAAGAAACAAAAAAGAAAGTGGAACCTCTTCAGCATGGTATTCCAGGCCATCTTTTATTCTCTTTCGTAAAAGGTTACGCAAAGAATCAATATCTTTATTGTGAAAAACTTCAAAGTTTTCCATGTCAATAAGATCATGAAGCTGCAACTGCTTAGAAGCATCACTAACAGCATCTTTTAATTTCCTCATTTTTTTCAAAATCTGTCAATCCATTGTAAGAAGCAATTACATTGCAAACTTTTTTACGATTTCCATTTTTTATTGAAGCAAGTTTAGCAAAGCGAACAAAGTAATCAATACGTGATCTCCACCTCATGAGCTCCTTGTCATTACGTGACTTGTCATATTGATTTTCAGGAATATCAGGAACTTCATAAAGATGATCAACATCACGTAGCAGATCAAGAAACATCAAAACATGACTATTGTAGAGATGACCAGCAAGATGTGAGAGAACATAAGTTGGTATCTTGTTAAGACCAAGATCCCAAACATTAATGAGAGCTAATCCGCATGTGTGGCTTTGATCCCATTCAGTGAGCTCGTCATGTTGCTTCCTGAGATCATTCTCAAGAATGCTCATCATAAATTCCAATAAATGCCCATTTAGATCTTTACTAGAGAATCCAGAGAAATGATCTAAAGAGACTCTCATTACTTTGCCAGATAACCGAGCTATACTTTCTACTCCTGTAGACATTATATATAGGTATCCCCTATCTTGTAGTTTAGGCGTAAACACAATCCTATTATAAAATACATTTCGAGCAGCAATTACATCACAAAACCCAATACCATCTTCTTCCTTTAAATCTGAAGCTGCTTGCAAGAGCTTCTTAAATGCTGTGGTTTTTCTGCTGTTTGGTAGACCACAATTGATTAATAGCATGGGTGTAACTTTAAGTTTAATCGTAGAATTTTGCATTGCTTCCTTCAACCATTTTGAATTTATTTCAAGAAATTCATCACCTATAAGAAATTATATGAGCTATTGCCAAATATTGGCAGAATTAAAAATATTCCAGCCCCTGGGAGAAATTTTAGAAATGACTACAGCTCCTGTAACTAGAAGCATTTTGACATTGCATTCATTCAGGTCATAAGTGTAGAAATAAAAATTTATTTGACCAATCAAATGCTAACTCACATGGTCTTAATCAGTTTTATAGGCTATTGAGTTGTCTCAGCAAAGGGGCAGGCATGAGACCAGCTATAAAGTAGCTGCACCAGTTGTTGTGAGACACTTAAGATTTTTGAATTTTAAAAATAAAGTACAGGCAATGCTCATGATACAAACCTTCTGATAATACCAGAATCTACTCTAATAATAATAACAAACAACTTGCAATTTAGTGTATATTATGATGTTAGAGCAGTGGCAGATCCAGCAAAATTGGCACCGCTCAGTCATAAAATAAAATAAATTGTGACTTTATGTGCAATAAGCCTATCTCACCACAGCATGGTGAGACTACAAACCAATATCTTCTGCCATAAACCTGAGAACCACCCTAATTTATCAACATTTTTGCTGACCATCTTGCTATGTCTTTTTTTGTGACCATATTTTTAATTGCAATTTCAAGCTCTAAATTATAAATTTAAAATCTTAAATCATCTTGAAAATGTCAAGTAAAAGGTTTTATACAATAATCACATTATTATTATTATCATTATTATATAGTAACTTACCTTGGGGTTGAAGCTCAGTGTAGCTTTGTGATTTCCTTAGTGTTTTTTCTCCATCATTATGCTGCATTGGTTCCCCAAAATCACCGGAAACAATCCATGGCTAAAAAAGCAAGTCTATATAAATATAGTAATTTAAATATGCCAAATTACAATTTCCTCCTGATAAAATGTTTCCTCACATGAAACTTCATAGGAAAAAGTGTTCTCTACAGAGCTATTCATTATTTGATTTTTCTCCAGTATATACAAACCTTCATTACATTGTTTCTTAAATTCATTCCAATCAGCAGTTAAACTATCAACTGCACCTTTAGCTGGTCCACCATCACATGATAGACAACCCAAAAATGTCTCATAACGATTGATTAATTGTGAAAGATCAGTTACAGAAGATAATCCAGCTTTAAATTCATCACATATTTTTCTGTATGTTGGTGAATCATTAACAGCCTCTGAGATTAGGTTTTTGGAATACAGTTCACTGCTAATATTCAAAATACAATGCTTTGTAGCATTTTCTATGCTAGCAAAATCTTCCTGAAGAGACTTGTTTATATGTGTACGAACTACAAATAAACATAAAGTAATAATCATTAACAATTAAACCAAAGGTACCTTGTTCCACAGTAATAGGTCCAGGATTGAGTTCCACATCTCCTGATAAAAAGAGAAGGAGGGTAAAGTACATCATTAAGTAGACAACATATGAAACTGTATCACACGACGGCATTCTCTTATAAATAGGTACAATTTTTTTAGTAGAGGCTTCAGCAATAGGATTAGGAGTAGAATTAGGACCAGTATTAGCAGAATAAACAGCACTAATGTGTGTAATAGCAGCGCCCGTAGCAGTAATATCAGTAGTAAGAGTATGCTTAATAGTAGAAGCAGCGTTAAAAGTTTTATTTTTTAATTCCCGCAAACTTCCAGCATCAATACCAGTTGCAGGAACTAATGAACGAAGTCTGAAGGAGTTCCAGTGACCAATAGCAGCCCTCCATTGAGATACATCAATCATGTCTCCTTTCTGTAAACAAGGGTGGGGTTCATCTGAACGGGTACTGGTGTGGCTCATCTGATAAGTGCAACAAGATCTAGACTAGTTGATAAAATCATAGATATTGGTTAACTACACTATACTATACATAGATACTTATCCTTAGCAAGGTATTTTAAAAATAAACAGGTTAAAAGGAAAGTGTCGCAACTTTTAAAAAGTATATTACACATGTTTAAATTCATTATGACATATTAGCTCATAGGACATAGGAATATGTCATTATCAAATCCATACATATATCATGATCTTAAAAGTTAGTGATATAAATCTTGTGCTACGTTGAATTGTATCTGAAGTCTTGCAATATCAGCATCTAATGCTGCCAGATCACGTCTGAATCCAACCTCAGTACTAGTAGTCCAACCACTACATGATTGTGTATTAGTACAATCTCCTGATGATGATGAGGCTTGATCTGGAGTCAGGGAATGTGTATCCTTTTCTTCTTCACTATTGAGGAGAAAGAGATATGAAATGTGCATATACAATGATTTTTAAAAATGCTTAGAAAAGTACATGAAGTTAATTGGAATTAGCTTCTACTATAAAAATAGGACTCCTGCTTCTACATAGCATAGTGGCATGTGTATCACAAAATGTAATAGAAATTGTGAGGCAAATTTTTGTAAAAATTACCATCACTTACTCTTTATCATTGCAGTGTCCTGTGTTGACTATTGCTTGAATTGTGGATACATCTTTCTGTGAGATCATAAGCCAGTCAGTTTCACTTGACGGCTTCAAACCAATCAACATGTGAGCCAAACACTGCCTTAACTCACTATAATAAATAAGATTAAAAGTTATCTTTAGGAATCATGTCATGTGTTGTATACATGTACTTACAGTAAAGCATCTTGTGACTGTAATAATTCTGTTTCTTTCTCTGCTACTGATAGTTTAAGCATTTGATTCTCATCGTACAGTTCTTGTTGCTCTAATTCAATGTCTCCACGATACTCTATAGCATGAGAAATCCATAAAATTAGTTCTAAATCTCATTACATGTGACAGACTATTACTCACTCTCTTTCCATTGTGTCTCAATTTCTCTCAAACCAATCTCTAGTTGTGATAGTTTAAGTGTCAGAGTATCTCTCTCCTCTTTCTGTACTTCTTCCAATACCTAATAATAATAATAATATAAATGTATGTAGCTTATCTAAATCTTATTGTGAAATTTAGGTAAGTTATTTTTTATTAATTAAAATTTAAAATTTCATGCCTACTTACATCTATTTTTGCTGCATACTGTTGACCTAATTCATTCTTTTCTTCTTGGAGCTTCTTTACTACATGGTAAAATTCAAAATGATAAACTTGTAATCTTTAAAAAATTTAGGAAAATTTAGAGATGCATTGTACATGTATGTACATGTCATTTAAAAATTCAGTTAGACATTATATCAATCACATCACACATGGAAAGTTTAATTATTGAACTAAAAGTAATGATAGTGTTACATGGCATTTACTATTGTGCATAAATTTATAGGAATTTTTTTAAATTGTAAAAATCTAATTCTAATTGGGGTCTGCTATCTGCTAAAGCTTTCTAGAAAACATAAAAACATGTATTATGTATCAGAAAAAAAATTATAAAAACAGAAAATTCCTTCCTGGCCATTATTGACAAAATTTAGCACAAACACTTTGGCCCAATTTTTGAGCAACTTTAAAAATTCATAAAAAATCTAAATTTAATTGAAATATATTATGCTCAAACTTTCTACGCCACATAAAAACAAGTATATGTATCAGGAAAAATTATTAAAATGAAGAATTCTCACCTTTTCATTTTTAGCAAAATTTGGCCAAAAACACTGTACTATAGTACAGGGATTTTGGCTCAATTTTTGAGCAACTTTGAAAATTCATAAAAAATCCAAATTTAATCAAAATATGCTCAAAATTTCTACACAACATAAAAACATGTATATGCATCAGGAAAAATTATTAAAATGAAGAATTCTCACTTTTTCATTTTTGGCAAAATTTGGCTGAAGACACTGTACTATAATACAGGGATTCTGGCTCGATTTTTGAGCAACTTTGAAAATTCATAAAAAATCTAAATTTAATTGAAATATGCTCAAACTTTTTATGCAACATAAAAACATGTACATGCATTAGAAAAAATTATTAAAATAAAGAATTCTCACCATTTCATTTTTAGCAAAATTTGGCCGAAAACACTGTACTATAGTACAGGAATTTTGGCCTGATTTTTAGCAACTTTAAAAATTCATAAAAAATCTAAATTTAATTGAAATATGCTCAAACTTTCTATACAACATAAAACATGTACATGTATCAGGAAAAATTATTAAAATTAAGAATTCTCACCTTTTAATTTTTGGCAAAATTTGGCCAAAGACACTGTACTACAGTACAGGGACTTTGGCTCAATTTTTGAACAAATTTAAAAATTCATAAAAAATCCAATTTTAATCGAAACTCATTGAAAATTTATACACAACATAAAAATATGTATACGTATCAGGAAAAATTATAAAAATTGAGAATTCTTTCCTAGCCCTTTTTGACAAAATACTATGTACTCTTAGATCTATTATAGGCCATGGTCTTTGGTCCACTTTTGGACAACTTTAAAATTTCTAATATTGATTAGAATTCAATTTTTTGACAGGCAATTATTATCATGAACTGTAGAGATAGTATGTTTGATTTGTTTTTTTCCATTCTTATTCCTGATAAAACAAATATTTCTCCCAAAAAGGCATTACTTTATGTCGTGTGTAAATTGTGAATGTAAAATTTTTCCACATAAAATGTACCCACTATACAATTATCAATACTCTGTGTTTGAAATCCCTTCCTATGAGCTTTTTAATACTTTTACTATTAATTTTTCTAACCTTGTTGCTGTGCCTCCTCCAATGCTTTCTGTGAATCCTCCAATTTATTCTTCAGCTCCTTTAACTCACATACAAGCTGCTGTGTCTTAAAACTTTGTATGCACACACACGATGTGTACAACGAAATGAATGTGTGCATAAAACAGATATAATTCAATAGCTACAGTACTGACAACATTACTTTATGTGTGAGCTGTTCTGTTCTCTAGTGTCAATGATTTGATAATAAGGAGGTAGCCACATCATTGTTGGCCAGTCCTCTCCTTGTCCTTTCACTTCATTAGACTCCAAAGATACAGCAATACCTCCTCTTCCTCCATTACCAATAGGGCCCACTCCTCCTGCTACAGTCTCTTGATTGGTAAGAGGCTTTTGTATCTGAGAGCTAGCCCTGAGGTGAGGAATATGTGGATTTGATGTTGCTCCAGTTGTTCTTTTGCTGTCAGTAGGATGATGATTGGTCTGTGGTGTACTCATAGCTACTGGTATTGGACGAGATAGTTTTCTTCTTCTCTTAACTGTAGTGGCACTGCTGG